ACACGACTGGGAAGGTGGAATCGGGACGCAGTAAATGAGGCGGGATTAGGATTTTGAACAAAGGGAAGACCGCGACCGATTTCGGGAACGCGCGGTTCATCCAGATGTTACAAAAAAGACAACTGAGGCGGGGAACCCGGTTCGGGCGTCTCGGACCCACCTCTAGACGATAATCAAATCAGCAGAGGCGGATTGGGATTATCTTCGGGTTCGAGGGCATCCCGCCAACGGCACGTCCGGAATCAAATTCAACCGACGGTTGACGACGGGGAATAAACGGGGAAACAAGAGAATAGCACTAAAGGAGTCGCGGGCCGCCAGAAATACGGCGGGCGCGTGTCTAGGAAAGAGCCTAGCCACCCCCAGGGGGTTTCTCGGCAAGGCGGAGGACACCGGCCTAGGGTGTCTCGGCCATCGGCCGGAGACCAAAGGGGTGTCCGCAGCTCTGGACCCATTATGACCGCCTCGGCGTAGAGGGCTATAATAGCGGCGCCTTGGGCCTTGGCTTTTGAGGGGCCAGGGGATTTTTGCGAGAAGGCGCTTGCGGGCGAAGCCGGCTGGCTCCGGCACCGGTACATAAGAAGTACATCGATGCGCGCTATCAACCGAGCGGAGGAGAGGTCTACATCAGCCTTTCATCACCACGTTTCCCCGCCCCCTCTATCACTTTAGTATTAGGCCTTTTAGGCCGTTAAATTAGCTAAGCAAAGTAGCGTATCCTACCGCCTCGCTTTAGCCCGAGGTACGCTTATCAGCTTCTAGATCTCAGCGTGTGGCGGGGATCGACGGAAGTTACTGTCGCGATATTTCTGGATCATGAGAAGTCTGCTAGATCTCGAGCGGCATACCGGCCGAAACTCTGAGTGCCGATTTATCCGGCAATCGCGCCCAGATGCTGTATATGCCCGGTGGTCGCACGGAATATCACGATCAGACGCCGTCACAGAGGCTCAAAGACGCCACGCACGCGGAGGCCGCGCCCGCGCAAAACGGGATCTTCGTGTTTATCTTTTCCGAAAAGTTTGTATCTTGTTTTGTTGCACAAGGAGGTCTTAATAAAAGACTGACTTTTTTATCGCGGATTCTGCTTGATATAGCGTTTAAAGTTGTAAAGAATTCTGAAAGCAACTGAAAATACGCTGACTTTCAGCGACGAAAACAATAATATTTTATTAGAGTGTGAGTGGATGAGTGTGTTGGGCTGAAATAATATTTATTATGATGTGGTGGATGTAGTTTGTGTGGATTAAAATAATATTTTATTAGAATATTGTGTGGTTGAGTTTTTGGGATGAAAACTGTGTGCAAAATTGTACTTTTTGAGATTTCTTGGTTTTCATTTCTATTTTTTGGTTTTTTAGGAAATAACCAAACATGCCCTAAAAATAAACCAAACACAATAAATGAGTCACATTATCCAACTCATCTTATTTCATATTTAAAAATCACCCACATCATCCAATAATATGATGACAACTCATCTCATCTCATTAACATTTTATTTCCACCCATTTCCTCAAAAAAAACAAGGAAATTGATTTTCTTAAGTGTGAGTCACATTATCCAATAATATAAAAACAACTCATCACATCTCATCTATTTTCTTATTTTTAAGAATGAATCAAACACAAGAAAGAAACTATTATAGGAAATAGGTTTCTTATAATACATTTTCTTTTTTTTAACCAACCAAACAATCTCAAAACAAGTTTTCTTAAAAAATCACTCACATCATCCAATAATATGGTGACAACTCATCTCATCTCCTATTCTTTGATTTTTCTTTTTTTTTAGCCAACCAAACAACCATAATACAAGATTTCATATTATTTGATTTCCCACTTTTTTTAGGCAAACAAACAGCTTAAGCAATCTGAGGGTCAAAGTCCTGCAATCAAAAACTCTAATTCTTAGTTATAAATTTTAATAGAGACAGATACAATTGTTGGATTTATTGTAATAATCGGCAAATATATTAAATAAATATGTATTGTATATTATCAATTAAGGTTAGCATATAAAAGTAATCTAATTTAGGGTTTGAGCTTTTAATGTATAATTAAAATATGGGAATCCTATGG